TGACACAGTAGTCAGTGAATCATATCAGGAGGCACATGGTATCAGCATGTCTTATTTCTGATAAAAGTGCCATTTTTGGAGGCAGGATCATAAGAGGAGGAACAAATACGGGAAAAAGATCTGGGGTTTCAGTTAGGGATGAAACTTGAATGAAGAGAAATCACACCAAAGTCAGTGCTCTGGGAGTGCTGGGCACTCTGGTAGCTGGGGACTTAGGAAGCAGGAAGGAGAAGGTGTCAGGTTGTAGAGGGGAAAGAAAGACAGTGGAGGTAAAAACAAGACTGGCTTTGCAATATATCTAAGTTGTCAGGCAGGCAAGGACTGGAACAAATTCTGTGGATTTGGAATCCAGGGGCTCAGCCGGTGCTCCAGGTCAGTGTTTACCAGGCCCCAGCCCAGGCCCAGGCTGGGACTTGTAATGAGCATTTTTTCCTCTGGGCAGTTAGAGGGAGCAGGTTTGGCTGAGCACTTCTGTTCTAACTTGACAAATGAGCAGTGGGTGTTGCATGTTCAGAGCTGCTGGCTAGGCTGCAAGAGGTGGTGGCGATGAAGCTGTGTGTAGGCCAGTAGGCTACCCAGCACCCACACTTATAGCTGCCAGCAGAACAACCTGCTTGATGGAGAATTAGCTCTACAAGTGTTAGTTACCGTGGGCGTGGGTGCCTCCAAGTGGTCTTTTGGAGGCACTACTGGTAGAAGTGGAAGCGGTGAAGGTTGGTAGTTGACTAGGGCTTCATGTACCGGCAATAGATTGTAGAGATCAGGAATTGTCCTTGCTTCTTAGATTCAAGTGACCCTGGGGATCCCTACTTTTTAAGCTAACAGTACTTTTAAGCTAGGTGTATACCTAGAAGTAGAATTGTTAGGTCAAATGGTAACTCTATGTTTAACTTCTGAGGAACTGCCAGACTATTTTCCAAAGTGGCCACACAATTTTACATTCCTACCAGTAGTATATGAGGGTTCCAATTTCTCCGTATTCCTGTCAATACTTATTATTGTCTTTTTGATTATAACCATTCTAGTGCATGTGAAGTGGTATCTCATTATGGTTTTGATTTGCATTTCTGTGATGACTAATGATGTTGAGCATGTTTTCATGAGCTTATCAGCCATCTGTGTATCTTTGGAGAAATTCCTATTCAGATCCTTTTTCCTCTTTTAAAGTGGATTATTTGTCTTTTTATTATTGTGTTATAAGAATTCATATATTCTAGATGCAAATCTCTGATGAGATATATGATTTGCAAATATTTTCTCCCATTCTGTGGGTTGTCTGGTTGGGGAAAGAAGACAAACACAGAGAGTGGAGTGGTTGGGGAGGAAGTGTGCATAACAGAGGCACTGTATGGGGAGGTCTACAGTGAACTCTTTGAGCTTCAGGGTTCCCCACCTGGGTATTGAGTGAACTAGACAAGCTGCTCTGACATTGCCATGGCTTTGCAGGCACAAATGGATGTTACTGTATACTCATTGCTGTGCATCAGGTATGTATATTAAGTGTCAGAAATTTGGCATCTCATGAGACCTGGAGCATGGAGTGTGGTGGGGGTAGCAGGAGGCTCTTTCTTAAGAAAGGAGACTCCATATTGCACATTTCCACAGGACTAACGGGTCACCTTGGAGGCAGCATGATGTGGCTTGAGAGCCAGACAAGACTTGGATTTAGATCTTGGTTGTAGTAGATGCTGCTACATAGTACCCTTCCCATACTCCCTTAGCCATTTCTGATGGTTTCTAAGTGTAAGCCCCTGGGATTTTTCTGCCTGAGGGCTTTCTCTGCTCAGCAGGCACACAGGGAAGTCTGGAAGTGCTAAGAACAGCCCTCACTCCTTAGTTTCCTCATTCTTTTGGTGGGACAACTGTGTTATATTCAACACTGTGTCCCAGAGGTCCCCAGTAAGATAGAGACACCACTGCCCACAATGGTAACCTGCTCATTATTGTACCTTGAATTGGTTTCCTTTCATTTCTTTGTTTCAACTTCCTCCACTCCTCTACTAGTGCTTCCTATGATAATCTCTCAAATAGACCATTCGTACTCACATCCTTATTTCAGTGTCTGCTTCTGGGGAAACCCAACCTAAAGATATTGGTTCTTCCATTTCTAAGATACATCCATTCTATTTCCTTGGGCAGATCACTATACCTCTCTGAACCTCACTTTCCTCATTTACAAAATGGATAAAAACACTTATTCATAGGACGGTCGTGAGATTTAGTATCTCTCTCAGACATACTAAGAGTTCAGTAAATGCTAGTTCTCTTTTCTTTTCAGTTATTTACTGGCCTGTAACATAGATATTCTCCCAGAAACCCTTGGTTGGACATGCTCCTTTCAGCCATAGTTGGGCAGGAAAAGACAAGCAGCCTGGAGCTGGCCCTGTAGGTGATTGGATTACTGCTCCCAGTTACTTGCTCCCTCCCTGCAATAGGATTAAACATCCCCTGTCATGCTTTGCATCCTCAAGAGGGAGCATGTCTCCCTGTCATCCATGCATTAGTCATAAGACATGCTTTGGTGAATGGCATTTGAGCTGACATGACATTCACATTTGAGAAGAAGCTTTAAATGTGTTATTGCATGATTTGGCTCAGGCTCTTTCACTCCCACTCTCCGCCATGAGAAAAACACGTCCCCAGAGCCTGGCACACAGTATGAACTAGCACTATTAAACACTTATTGTGTACTAGGCACTGCCCCATTTCTACACATGTTAATTCATTTCATCCTCACAGGAATTCTTAAGACACAGGTCCTATTATCATCATCATCCTTATTTTACATATGTGGAAAACTAAGGTTCAATAAGGATGAGTACCTTGATCAAACTTATACAGTCTGTCTTTTAGGTTCATATTTTTAACCACTGTACTATGTTGTTTCTTATAGGTGATCAGCAAATGCTTGTTGAATAAAAGTTTGTTTAAATGATTGTCACTACTGAAGCATTGTTCTCTTCTATTTACCCAAATTCTGAAGGCACAATACATTGGGATAAAGATGAACTTCTGACTTTGGCCTGGGCACCCTTCCTGCCTCAGTTGTTAGCCACATAGGAGTCCCTTCTGATTCTCCTGACTGGAAAAAAGGTCACTTGTGATCATCAGATGGGAATACAAACATTTCACCTGTAGGATCCACATGAACCACAAGATAGCTCCTGTAAATTCTACAGACCTCTCCCCTGTAGACTTCAATGTGGACCTCAGACTCCTATCTCCTGAGAACTCCTATCTTTCTTAGGCCCACATGGACTCTCCATATCTCTCCTGTAGGAGCCATTCTTGATAACTTCCTCAGGTTCCAATTCATTATCTCATTGGGTCCTCCGCATAGCTCTGTAAATAGGCTAAAGCTTGCTTTATAGAAAGGATAGAGAGAAGTGACCATGTGGGTGAATCAGGGACAGGATCAAGGCAGAACCCTGTTGTCCTGCCCATAGCCAATGATTCCTGATTGGCCTTGTGGCTAGACTATGTTCTTGCTCAACCTTTCATAGACCCTGTGGTTCCCTCCCTTTTCTTCCCTCTCCCTCACTAGTTCTTTTCTGCTTTTCTTCTCTCCTGCCTCCTTTCTATCCCAGCTGTGGGAGTGAAGCCCCACTCCCAGCAGGCCAGAGCCAGACAATGGGCCCTTATTCTGGGCAAAGAATCCCTGCAGTGTCTCCCACCCACTGAGGCCCCCTTACAAGCCCAGGATAGTGTGGGCAGTGTGGAGGGCAGGAGCCATTGGCTGGCAGGACAGAGGGTGGCCCTGGCTGGAAAGAGCCCACAGGAGGTTTACATTGTAAACACCACTCACAATAAAAGCCTGTCTTTCACTCTCAGCCCCATCTCCCCAAGCGGGTATCTCTCAAGCATCATTAGTTCTGGGTTTTTAAACATTTACCCTGGTCTCTATTTTTTTTTAGGTGTTCATCTCTGCATATCAGTCTCTTTCATTCTTTCTTCTGTCTTTTTCTTTCTAAGCCTCTCTCTTTCTATTCCTTTGTGTAGCTTGCCTGTCCCTATTTCTTACCTTTTCACTTCATCATGTTTTCTGTCCTCTCCCTCTTCTCTTTCTCTTTCAATGTCTTTTTGTCTTTCCAAATCCTGATCTCTCCATGTTTCTATGCCTTTATGTTCGTGGCTCTTCTCTCTTGTCTTTCTATGTCTAGCTTTTCATGAATCTCTGTGTTAGTTTCTCTATATCCCGTTTCTCTCTCTTCATGTCTCACCTCTGATTTTCCATCCTCCATCCCCTCTCTGCCATTTTGGATCTGAAGGACCTTCATCAATAGACATGCTCTCTTGCTCACAAAGATTTTAATCCTTTCTGGTAAATCCCAGAGGCCGCTGGGACCGGAATAGGAGGTTATTCTCCCCAGTTTACAGATTTGGAAGTTGAGGCTCTGGCTGCTAGTATTAGTTTCCCATCTCTGGGTCTCTTCCTCCTTGTCTTCTCTGTGCCTTTGTTCTCACAGTGCCCCCGGCCACCTGAATGGGCCAGGGCCAGAACTTAGCACCTTGGACAGCTCCGGCAAGGTGCGGCATTGGACTGACTTTCCTTCTCGGGCTTTGTATCTTTTCCGTTTGTTTTGGTGTCTTCCCCAGAAACTCGTTCTCTGTCCCCTCCTGTTGAGCTGATCTCTCCTTGTCTCTGCCATCCTGGAAAATGGATTCAATTTTATCCTTTTAATCGAGAGTTAATTTTCTGGTGGCATTGATGCCTTCATTCACTGTACTCGTGTGAATTTTATTTTAGATGCTGAATTTTAAATTTTCTTCCAATCTCTTTTTACTATCAATTTTTCACTTTGCTTAACCGGTTTTGGGCTCGCGGCTTGCGGCTTGCGGCCGGCTCCGCGCCGCATCGCCGGGTGCAACGTAGCTCAGCGCCGGGGCCTTTGGGCAGCTGAGCGACAACAGCGGGTAAGTCCCAGGCCTGAAATCTCGGAGAAGGGCTTTGCAGGGAAGATGGGCGCAGTGCGAGAGGGAGTCACCTCCTCTCCAGCTTTGCACCCGCTACGCTTCACCTTTGGAAGCAGCGGGCACGCGGAGCTGCTGGAGAGGTGGAGAGTCGAGGTGCCCTTTCCTGTTTGAAGTGGGAGAAGAGTGCCCCAGGTGCCCCCAGGCCTTTCAACTCCCACCATCCCCATTCTCAGCTCCCTCAGAGGGAACCCGTGTCTTGGGTGACGTCAGATCTCTGGATTCTGGAGCCTGGGCCTTGGGCCCTCCATCCCCCCACAACCCCACCTGACGTTCCCTGGAAACCGGCTTCCTTTTCCTGGGGATGGCTCACGCGGCCGGGTATGGGGGCGACTGGAGGCGAGGTAACTGGACTCTTTTGGGTTTTTCCTCCCAAGAGGTGCCTGCAGGTGGACCCAGGTTGTTACCTCCTCCGCTGTCCCCTCTCTTCCGTCTCCTGCGGGCAGCGGACCTTTGCTCAGCGGGTCTGAGCCGCCAGGATTTCGGCGGATGGATGCACTGGCTTGAGCCTGGCGTCCACCAGGGCTTTGGGGGTGCTGGATGTAGCTCATTTCAACGCCGGCAGGAGTCGGTCACGAGAATGGAAGTGAAGTGTTTGGAAACCCGTCCATGCCTCAGGGAGCTCCTGGTCTGGGGGTTGAGGGAACCGAGTAGAAACTGAGAATTCACCATTTCGGGCAGTTCCAACCGGTAGTGCCTCAGCTCTGAAATGGGGAGTTTAGGGAGGGCCAAGCGGACTTTCCGCCGACGTAAGAAGCCCAAGGATAAAGGTAGGAAAGAGCCAGTGAATAAGAGTCTTTCTGGAGAAGGTGAAATTTGGATGGGTAGAGAAGCAAGAGAGGGCATTACGGGAGAATGGTATGAGGAAAGACATAGAGGTGAGAAATAAGCACAGCTGTTAGGAAGCCCACGGGGTGGGGGAGTCTATGCCCTACCAGTTCTGCCTCCAAGGGGCAGGGCTCTGAAAGAGGGAGATAGATGGCTCTTACAGGGGCATTACTGGCAGAGAGATTTTGTTTTGGGCTACACAAATCTTGCTAGTTGAAATTTGATCTGGGTTTGGTGAGCCTGAAGGCAAAGTCCTCTGAGCTGAGAAAGGACTGTTTGGTGAATGGGCCACAGAAAGGGGGTTTTCGTAGAAGAGCTCTGATAACGGCCTTGGGTTCTGTTGCTATTTCTGTAACCCTTTCCCTGGCTGGCTGGCCACCTCTGAACAAGTTCATTTCCCTCTCTGGGCATCTCTTTGCCAGCACTTTTCTCTAGGGATTACATAATAGGATTAAGTATTGACCTCCCATGAGGAAGCTACTTGTTCTAGTTTAGAGCATTCCTCCCAGTTCTTTTTCCTTTTTCTTTCCTTCTGCCTCCCTCTCCCTGTTCCTCCTCCTCCCCACAGCATTTCCTCTATGGGCTGGAGTCTCTGAAAGTTTCCTGGAGGAAGTGTTGGACAGCAGGTTTGACAGAAGCTGTGGGCTTAGCCTGGTTGGGGAGAGCATCATTTGCTCTTCTCCCACCCCTTGGGAGGGTATCCAAGTCTTAAGCAAGAACATAGATTGACAGTGCTCTGTGTCCTGCCCTGTGTTGGGTCCCTCCCGGAAGCCCCATCCATGAGAAAGTGAGGAAGAGATTGGATGAGAATGAGTGACAACTAGGTGCCCAATAACTGGTTCAGAATTTAAGTAGTGGGATGTATAACAGGGATGTCTGGAAAGGCTTCCCAGGAGAGATGGGATGTGAGAAAATGGAAGGACTTAGAGGAGTTGACAGGGCTCTGGTTTAGGGGCACTAAAGGGGGTGGCTAGATATAACCTCGTGCATGAAGATGAGTTTTGTGGGAGGCAGGTCAGCCCGTGGTAGAGAAACAAAGCATAGCAGACAGGAGGTTTGTAGCTGATTGATACAAGGCCTGGAATGACAACAGTAGGGGCTACCAAAGAGTCATCATAGGGTAGTGATAGCAATGCCAGGAGAGTGCTGCTTTCTGAGCATGATTCATAGTTCTGGGACTTCAGGGTTGGGAATGGAATATGGAGACCAGAGGTAGAGCAAGTAGAGGAAACTTCCATCTTAGGCTCTGAGCAGGTAGGAAGAAAATAAGTAAGGATGAGGGGCTCACACTGGGGAGGAGGGAGGGCTGTGACCAGGGAGGGGTAGTGAGCAAGGAGCCCTAGAACCAGCCCCATATCTCTGGCCTGATCTGAGGCCAGACTTGAGTCCCTTATCTCTGCCATGGGCCTCACTCTCTGTACTGTAGAAGCTTCTGTCCTCCCAGCTTCACAGTAAAAAATGGAATAAATTATAATCTGGGTTTTAAAAAACAAAATTCAGATAGTATTTGCTAACTTACTGATAAATAAGGAGGTGCTTCCTTTTGTCTACATCTTTGGGGGGATATGTAGCACCCTCAACCCCCACCACCAACTTTATGAATGAGTGTCAATTGAGGAGAAAGCTGTTAACTTCTCCCGTTTTGCAGTCAAGAAATTTGGTTTGCAGACACCAGTCATTGCATCCCCCCGTGCCCACACACACAAGTATAAAGGCTAGCTCTGAAATAAGGGCAGGGCACCCTGGAGCCTTCCATTCCTGTGACCCCAGACTCCTGCAGCCCTCCCAAGCGTAAATTCTCTCTGGGCTAACCTTCATATACAAGTGTAGCAGTCTTGTCCTATGCTCTGGCCTTGAGATCTGGCTTCTCCTACAATGAATCCTATCTATACTTTGCTACACTGACTTCTCTATAACCCTGGGCACACCTTTGGGAGACAGCCTGGGACCAAGGACAAGGGGCAGACTGGAGCCAAGATTAGAGTCACTTCCTTTGAGGCTCCTACAATCCAGTTATTGCCTGCCCTCTCCCTGCTGTTCTTCCTTATTTTTTTGGAGGACTTCAGTGCTGGACAACAGTCTCTCACTTCACATCCCAGTATCTCATGGAAGGTGATGCCTTCTTCGGCTACCCTTTCTACCAGCCACACTTGAGTCTGGTCATCACTGGCATGTGGCTACCTCTGAAATCTTAAACTCCAATGTCCTCTGACCACAGTCTAACTTCTACTTTACCTGCTTTGGGGCCCCACAGAGATCTCTACTTCTCTGACACTTTCATTTTCTCTATACCATGAGCATCACACCTTCTGTGTCCTTTCTGGACCTCATGTTCCAGGATTTTAACCATTCTCTGGCCCATGCCCTCAACTATTCTGCCACTTTGCCCGTGTATTCCAACTCAGCAGCAGACATTCCAATTCTGGATTCTATTCTCAGAATGTAGAAAGCTTCAGGGGTGGAGGGGTCGTCACATTCTAGGGCAGTCTAGTTCTGCTTCTGTGCAGGGTCTCCAGCCTCAGCTGTCCCTCCATCACTTTCTCGAAACTCTTCCCCTCTTTCCTTCAGGTTTTCATTCTATTCCATGGGAGGAGTATTACAAACTGGGCTACTCTCTCAAAACCCCTTACTTACAAAAAGGGTGATTAGGGGATTGGGGGAGCGGTGGAACCACACTCATGTTTCCCTACTTCTTGATTCCAGTAAAGGAGGGCTCCTAGTCTAATGTGCCCACTCTGTGCTATGGACACCAGCCCTCTGTCTCCCCAGGTACCAATGTCCATTGGCCATTTCCCTTTCTAACTGTACTAGCTTATAAATATGTTTAAGTCTCCTATCTGGAAAAATATTTCTAACCTTATGTCCTCCACTAGTTGCTGCCGTTTAAAACTGATGGCTTTGTCTTATTTTAAAAGTAATAAATGACCACTGTAGAAATTTTAGAATATTTTTATCTCACTATCAAGAGATGACTAGTGTTCATCCTTTGGTGTATGGTGTTTGAGTTTCAGCGTTGTCACTGATATTGTGTGTGTGTATTAAAACGAAAACCAAGTTTTTTGAAAGACTGGTTTGCTAGACTTGTTCCTTCTTCATTTCTCTCATGTTTTCCTCATCTCCTGGCAGCCTGGCCTTTACCCTACCACTCCCTGAAGCTGTGACCCCCTAATTACCAAATCAGCCATGTCGTGCCTGACTGCTCCATGACTGTGGACATTGTTGACCAGGTTGACCAGTCATTAAAAAGACTGAGGTAACCTGTATTCATTGACATGAAAAATTTTCATGAAATATTGTTGAGTGGAAAAAAACAGCATGTGTAAAATGATCTCATTTTTGTCATATATACATTAAAAGCAAAAACCAAACACTTAAAGGTCAAACTGTTAAAGGGTTGGGCTTTGAGAAAGTGGATTTTGGAAGGACTTTTATTTTCTACTTTATGCACTTTGATTTTTTTTAACTTGCAGATATTTTTATACATAGCCGAAAAGCAGCATATTTTCATTTGATTAAAAAAACTTTGAGGCTATGCTTTCTAAAAGAAGAAGAAGAAACTTTCAGTGGCTGGCAAGACTGAAAATAAAGCTAAAATCCTGCCCATAACCTTTAAGGCCAGGATGACCTGGCCTCTCCCACCTTTCAACCATAGTTTTGCCTTTTCATCCCTCCTTCCACTTTGAGCTTCGTTTTTGCTCTACTTCTTTCTATTCCTTGAATATACCATGCTGTTGCTCTCCTGACCTTCACACCTGCTTTCTTGATTTGCTTTTTCCCTAGCCAACTCTCAGTTATCTTTCAAGATTCACCTCTGTGAAGCCCTCCCGTTTTCCTCCAGGCAGACCAGGGAGGCGCGCCTCTGTGTTCCCACAGCTGTTTGTACTTGCTCTCCCACAGCACTTCTCAGGCTGTGTTGTAATTGCTCATTGACTTAGCTGGGTCCTCTACTCTTACCTCCTCTCTCTCTACTCCGACCTGTCTCTAATATTACAGAGAAAATTGAAGTAAGTCCACAGGACTCTCGCATCCTTTCCAAGGTCTTTAGCTTGCCTGCATCTACTTGCATCACGTTCTCCTTCCTACCTGTTAATATCAAGGTTTGTTTCACCTCTTGCTCTGGACCCTGTGCTCCTCTTTTCAGGGGTTTGCTCCATTGGTTAACCTCTATCTATTGTAATTTCAGCTTTTCCATGGATCTCCACATCTCTAGCTTATTTCCATGTTAAACAAGCAACTCTCAGCCATAGCCTTTTCTGGACCCCATATTCTTCCTAGGTAGTACCCTATCTCTCAATTCTCTCCCTAGGTATAGGTGGCCTTCTTCAAAGAGCTATCTACACCAGCTCTCAGCTTACCTGTTCAACTATAGATCTAATTTGGCTGTTATTCGCACCCGCACACCACCAAAACAATTCTTGCTGGGGTCACAGATTACTTGATGTTACTGAGTATAATGAACATTTTCAGCCCAGCCCTTTTCATGCTGGGCTTTTCAGTGGCATGTGTCATATTTGTC